GAGGGGGGGTATTGCTGGAATGTTTGCTGAAGTTTTTACTTTTTTCTTTCTTGCTCCTAATCGTCTTTCCCTGGCTAGGAAAAAGGAAGCACATAAATTGATTATTGTGGTTGTAGATGGAGGAACAAAACAAAATCTTCAGCAGCAGAAGACATCTTCTTTTTACTTTTTTTGCATAAAGTCGTTACCATCTTCATGTCATTTAAGTTTCAATGTTCTCTTCTGTTATAGACCTTTTTTAAAACGTTTTTCCCTGCAGGAATTTGTGCTTTGTATGAGAGGAAACTCAAGGAACTGAACCCAGCCATCAGAGAAATTACATACGATATTTCAGATCTTTACAATTTCATAGATGGGCTTGCTGATATGAGTGCTCTAGTGTACCACTCTCTCTCTCTCTCTCTCACTCTCTCACTCTCTCTCTCTCTCATGCATGCACACACTCAGAGTCCACCCATGCGCCCCCTGTATAGAATCCCAAGCCAGAGAAATATGCAACTGTTACACATTCTGTCCTTTACACAGCAAAAGCATATATACAACAACCCAGTAAAAATGCAAAAGCATATATGAAAATGTAAATATGGCTCCCTGAGAGCGGATCTATGCATGCTACCTCTTTCTTTGCACCAAAGTTTTCAGTTCATCTCAATGATTTTGAAACACTGAGACGTCATATGCATGTTTTCTTTAGACCTCTCGGGTATCTGTACTTCTGTTTATTAACCGGATGAACTGCTATGTGCACATCAAATGATTGGCCCGTGGTCCATCATACTTAGACATGATTCTTAGCACTCACTACACTGTTGAAATGTAATTAATTCCAGCATTCTTTTATGACTTGCAGGTATGATCACTCACTCCAGGCTTACCTGCCCTATGACCGACAATGGATAAAACAGAAAACATTGCAACACCTGAAAAGGCTGGCATCACATTGATTATTGTTTTGAACGCTAGTTTCTGTCTACCATATTGTTAAATTTCCTGTTGGCTTTTATGAAGAAAAGAGCCGTGAACTGGAGGGTCAGAGTGTAAGAATCTCTTACGATGGGAACACTATGTATAATATGCTTCTTTTCCCTGAAATCCAAATCCTATCTGCAAAATTTCAAGTGGAAACCAACTGTTGTCGGAACAGCACGCTGTACTGGCCTTGCAATTTGAATCGTGGATGTATAATTTGCATAAGTTCTGTAAATTGTACGAGCATTTTGAACGTGATAGTGATTTTATGAAACTTCCTGTACTTTTAAGCTACTTTTAGTGGATATATATATATACAAGTTTATCTATGATAAATTAGTTGATCAATTAGGTGGGCATGAGCAAGCCTTGGTTGGACTTAAGACACCTTATTAAGGGAAGGAAGCCCAAAAGCTGTCTGATAGCCTGTTTGACCAAGCTTCTCAACAAAGAAAAAGTGCTCTTTTTTATCTTTTTTTTTTTTTTTTCTCAAAAGCATTTTTTTTCCCTAACTTGGGGTGTTTGGCCAAGCTTTTTTGGGGAAAAAAAGTGCTTTTGGGAAGAAGCAGAAGCAGTTTCTGAGAAGTAGAAAAAGTAGCTTCTTCCCAAAAGCAGAAGCAGTTTTGACTTTTCTTCTTACCAAAAATACTCTTAACAAAATATAGTATATACCAAAATAACCGTTAAACCTAATATTTAGGATATTAATGTATAAATATTTCTTATTATTTTTAGGATAGCTTTCTAATATATAGTGACTTTAGGGGTGAATGCTTTTATATTTCTTGAATGATTTTTAATATATTTAACTTATATTAAAAGAATTAAGTACTTTTAAATTTTATTTTCATATTTTACTTAAATAAAATGAAAAGGTTTAATTATTGCCTGTAATAACAGATTTTTAAGATTATTTATTTACTTATAATATTAACTATTAAGCAATTCTATTCATGTCCTTATTCATAATTTGATACTTAAAAGCATTTTCTAAAAAAAGCTTGGCCAAACACAAATTATTGCTCAAAAGTGCTTTTCAGAGTGATTAATCAAATACAAACTGCTTCTTTGCACAAAAGTATTTTTTTCAAAAGCACTTTTGAAAAAAGTACTTCTCAAAATAAGCTGATTTCTCCGGCTTGGCCAAACAGGCTATGAGTTGGATAGGTGTTGTTGCCCAATTCGTTGTTTTTTGCTCAACTTTAGCATCCTTAATTTGAAATGCAGTGTCTTGAGTAGTTTCTTCTTCCTTCTAGGAGTTTGTCCCATCCCCAAAGCTCGAAAAGGGTGGAGGAATTTCATCCATCTCGCCATTCCGTGGTGGGGTCCAAAATCTTTGGTTGTTTGTATTTTGTTTAATTTGTAATGCCCTCCATCAGAATCATGTATCTATTGCTAGTCTTTAGACAATAACTATGTCAAAGTTGGAATATGAATGGATATTACTTGCTGTGAAGACATCCATGAATGTGATTTTCTAAGGATGATGTGTCTACTTGTTATTACTTGTCATTTTCAAATAACATCTATTTCATTGTAAAATACACTTCTTTCTCCAACGTGTAAGCACAAGTTAAAGTATAAATACCAACTTTAACTCTTATGCGACACTGTCATATTGAACTATAATGCACTTTCAATCAGAGGAGAAAAATATCTTCAGTGAATAAAAGTGTGTAATTCCATAAGCGGGGTCTAGGAAGGGTAGCGTATACGTAGATCGTACTTGTACCTGGTGAAGGTAGAGAGATTGTTGGGGAAAAAAAATTGACCCAAAATATATTGATATGGTTGGTATTACATATAAGGAAGTAATTATTTACCAGATGTAAGAAAAATCTTTAATTTCTTCTATGAATTTTCTAAGCATTCTGGTCCAGTTGTTGCAAGCTTGTTAACCAAAGCAAGTGCATTGCTGGTCATGTAACTCACATTTGTGACTCTATTTAAGAGTAACTTAACTTGTTTTCTCCTCCTTTGGTCTTCAAATCCATCTAAACAAGTAACTTCATCAGTAAGTGCAGCACTTAGCCAAGTAGTCACATCTCCCATTTGGTCATTAAAAGTTTGGCTGCTAAGTTTTCTTAGCACACCAAGTGAGTTGTGAAGATTGTCAAGTGCATCTTGAAAACATTCAGCACAATCTAAAAGAGCAACTCTTCCTCTCCCTTTCAAGGAATTGTGTTTCTTCAATTTCAATAGGGATTGAGTAACACCCTTGGCTTGGCTTAAGGTCACCGAGACCCCGACCCGGGCCCACTTGCTAGGGTTGTTCTTGGCCGTGCTCGAAAATGATGCTAGCGAATGCATGCAGATGTCCTGGTATCGAGTCACACTGCATGCATCGCGAACATAATTTTCTCCTCCCTTACTCGAAGCCGTTGTCGAACAAATTAGTATAGTTACCCATGCTAAGACTAACATAAATTTCCAAGTCATGGATAAAAGTAAAGAGATTTGATTGAAGCAAATAAAAATTGGTAATATAATGTTTATATGAAGCCCCTTTATAAAGAAATATGGTTTATGACTAACTAGGAAAGTAGGGCAGTTTTTTTTTGTGTGTGTGTAGTTAGTTATGAAGCAAGAAGGTGATGAATACATTAAAAGAAGGTTACTGTCTTAGATAAAGAGGGAATAGATCAGGAGAATAATGATGAACATGTAAAAAGGCCAAAAGGCAGATGAGGTTCACATTAATACAGGAGAAAAAGCTGTTTTATTATCTATTTCTAACAACACTTTTTTGGAAACTAAGGAAAAGGAAGTGAAATATGAGATAAATCAAATCTTTATTTTTTTACCCACTGAGTGTGGTAAGATAATTCGGATTTCTCCACCTTCAAGTAGAGGTCTTGGATTCGAGTCTTTGGAATGGAAACTTTCTTGGTAAGAAGCATCTTACCCCCTTAGTAGACCTACCAACGCGAATCCGGACTAGTCGAGCTAATAGATCTTGAATGCCTTAGTGCCTAAGTAAAAAAAAGAAAATCCTCACTTTTAACCGTTTATTACAGGGAAAATACTGTTCTCTTTGTATTTTATTTCCCCTATTAACCAACAAAAAAAGTATACTTTTCATTCTTTCCTCTTCTTTTCCTTTCCTTTTTCCTGTGGGTTCCAAACAACTTAGGGGGAATTCTTGANTGAGATTAATATATATGCAAGCTTCTCTCGGGCGGCAGTTTTCACTGCAGTTGTTCTTGCCAGAGTGATACCAAATACAAGGCATAGAACTGTTGACGAGAAGACAAATTTTGCAATTCAAAAATTTTTTTTAAAAAAAAAAAAAAAAAAAAAAGAAACAACAAAATAAGAAACTGTAAAAACTCCTGATAAGTTAAATATAGTTACAAAAAAGCATCTCTGAGGTTTCATATAGCACAATCCATTTCTGCAGTTTCAAGCTCTAAACAATAATTTACAAATATGATAAGAATTACATCCAATATACAGAAAATTGAGCAATAAATGAAAAATCACAAGCTGAACGAGTGAATCACATTGTTCGTATACGATCCACAAGAAATAAGTGTTTTACATGTTTTCAGACTGTAATTTCCATGTTCACATTTGTTATCAATGTGACAAAAACTCATAAAGACACAGAAAAATGAATCTTCTATCCAGCAACTTTTACTATCTAAACTTTAAACGAAATAATAGATGGTGTCTAAAACTTGTACCTCGTAACTATCTCTATAAGTATGGTGTTACTTCCATAAAACGTGTATAATCCGCTATCTAGCATCCATGTTGCGAACCAGAGCGACAAGTTCAATATTTTCATTCTCGGTTGCTGGAGTTTCAATGTTTTCTTTTGAATCCGACACTTCATCAGGAAGGCTAGAGGAGTTAGGATCACTTCTTGGAACCAAAAATAGTACAAAAAGTGGAGTGATTCTCAAAATGTTCCTTATCAAAATGGCGAGCCAGAGATTATCAAACTGTGTCCTTGTAACTTTAAAGACATGAAGCAACAATCCACCTCCCCATCTTGATGTAAGAAGTCCAGTATTGTCGATTGACATGAGCAAGGCGAAAAATGTGCCTTCAATGCCAGAAGGACAGAGCTTGGAACTTAGAACAAGAAGTGGCATCCACTTTAGTCGTCTGATCATTTGAGATATGCTTGCGTCTATCACCACAAAGAAATAATCGGGAATGCCAAATTTCAAATTTAAACGTAAGACCAGCAGCAAATCTAGCATTCCTGACAGACCAAGCAGTAACTGAGTCCAAAAGAGCAGGTCTCGGAAACAATAGTCTTTCAGTCCATATTGGTACAGTATAGTCACCAATAACGATCCAACGGAGCCTACAGCTGATATATATCCAATACTTTCCTGCAGGAATAAAAAGTTTACAAGGTTACATTTCCATTGTTATCCCCAAAAGAGTACAATAACTAATCTTAGTCTAATAATCCCTTATTTGTTTTTGTCCTCATATCATTAATCTGGTATTGTTAGGTAGAGAGAGGATACTCTAAGTTACAGCAGAACCTCTCGTGTGACGTCTCCTCACTCTTAACTAAAGCCTTACATGTTGGATATTTTGGAGATGAGTTACTCCCTCCATCTCAATTTATGTGGCGGTGTTTGACTCGATACGGAGTTTAGAAAGAAAGGAAGACTTTTGAAACTTGTGAAGCTAAATTGTTCCTAAACAAGGAAGTATAACGTTCTTTTGAGACTGACTAAAAAGGAAAGTATGACATATAAATTGGAACAAATGGCATTTTAGTTTCCCTTTAATTAACAATAAGTTTAAGGAATTCATGATTCTACTATGTACTTGGCTTGATTGGAATGTAACATGTCTAGCAGTTATTCCACCTTCGAAAAATGTGGTCCTCCGTCTGAATCTGTTGCCCAGTAGAACATTCCTTCCTGGATATCTAAACTCAGCGCAAAGGACAAGTACATATAAAGACATGGTCGCCAAACTTCCGGGCATTTCAAAGTTTTCCACATAGCCTTGGCAGCATCAGTGAAGTTCTGGTTTACCTGAAGATGCATCAAGAGGATTTGGGATAATTACATTTTTGAGCCGCCCAAAAAAAAATAGGGGGGATTACATATAAATACAACTCACTCGCATGTATTGCAATTAAGTGGCCTATATTTAACTTTGCAAAGTTATAGCCCAAAAATAATAGGCTAAGATTCAACATCCAACTCCAATAGGTTCTTCAAATTACTATTCTTTTTTTAAAAAAAAAAATTGCTCAAGCTTTTAATCTAATTTTCAAATCAGTAATTGTAACTCAAATATTAGTTCAACAAACCAAATTCATTAGGGTGGTAGAAATTAGATTTTTAAGATGATCCATCGTTGTTGAACACACTTAAATAGGTAGATTTAAATTTCGAATATGATTTTTTGTGAAATTTAGAGTGGATGTTGTTTAGACTTGTTAGAAATAGTACAAGAAGGTTGTATACAGAATTTAAAGTCATTTAATGAAGATTTGGACTGGTCCACCATTGTTGAACAAGCAAATAAGTGGGTTTAAATTTTGAATTTAGTTTTGTAAGAAATTTGGAGTGGGTATTATTTAGACTTGTTAGAAACTGTATAAGGAGGTTGTATATAAAATTTGAAGTCATTTAATGGAGATTTGGATTGGTTTTGAACAAGAATTGCAACTGAAAATCGTGGAAGAATTTCGTCTGCAGACGCCTGTATAAATGGGTATAAAAATGTAAAATGGTGTATAAGAGGTGTTCATACACACATATACACTATTATACAATATTATACATCATTATACAAAAACTTACTTCGTCTTCTTTCTGGTGTCTCTTTTGAAATTTAACTCAAATCTTGCTCAAATCTACTCCAAATCACTTCAAATTTAAATTTTGAACTCCTTTTGATGTTTTGAATCAATTGAAACAACATCCAATCCAAACAACTAACAAACTCAAAAAATCTTATTTTCGAAAGCGAAGCTTTGACTGGCCTTCAATAGTGGACTTCTACTCTTCATTTGTTTTACATTACAACCATGTGACACAGGGGGAGAAGCAACAATGACAACTCCTTGAAGCATATGTAGAAGATGTGAGGAGAGAGAGAGAGAGAGCGCCAAATAAAAACGAAAAAACTGACTTACAATTTAACGTGGCTAAAGGGTGCAAAGAAAATTTCAAAATATGTACAACCTGGGCCAAACCAGGTTAGAACTTCAAATGTGGGTCGTTTTCGGATGAGCCGTAGGCCTAAGTGATATTTAATGTAATTTTGTCAAAACAATAGCCGACAAAGTGTATATGTTTTGTATATTAAGTATAAATATACATATAATATACATATTATACACATAATCAGTGTACATGTTTTGTATATTAGGGCTACCGCCTGTAATTATTTTGCTGGCGGGATAAAAATGTAAAAAGCCCTTAGGATTTTAAAGACTGACCTATTCACTAAAAAGTAGCCAGATGAGGTGTAAGTACCTGTTGATAAGCAAAATTGTATGTCTGAGGTTCCTTGAGCAAAACTCCAACCAAAAACACAAGCACAGCTGGTATGGACAATAAGCCATACACCCCCTTTTATTCAGAAAAAAAGGATTCAGAAGTAATCTTCTATATTTGGATATTCACTATGCTATAATGAGAATATCGTAGGTTGTTCGAAATTAAGGGATAAAAAGCTAACCATAGGGCCAAGTAAGTGAACTAAGGTACCACTTAAAGAAAATCCGACTAGTGCACCAATTGAGGAACTCAAGGAACATAAGCTTTGCATATCAGCTGCAAGGGAAGGATGAGAACCACTGTTTTGTGCAACGCATGCATCAACGGTCACGTCCGCAATTGCAACCCCCGCACTTCCTGCGGTCAAGGAGAGCAGTGCAAACACAATATGCAAGTTCTTGTGCAATGATAAGAATAGCATCGAGACAACTCCAAGAGAACCTGGAATCATTGAAAAGCCGTACTTCGATAAAATTGAAAATATACCAAAGAAATAATTTACAGAGAAGATATTCAGTTATTTTCCATCGAATCAACTTTGGAAAGGGGAATTAATTTCTTACATCAGTCATTAGCTAATTCTGTTAGTCAATATAGATGTCTCCTTATCAAGTACATAAAACTTAAGTAACAAGATATATGTCAAATTGTCAACACTTTCATGATCCTTCTTTCAAAAGACTTAATACTATGTATACATTGTTCTTGGCTGTCAACATTTTCTAAGATCAAGATACATTTCCATTTTTATCGTTCTAGATAACGGCTAACCGCAAGAAAAGAAAGAAGGAATTTGTTCTTAATAGGATGAAATGGAGTCATTCACATGGACTTGGAACCTTATAGCAGTCAACACTTTTACCTATTTGTTTGCATCTTAAAATAATTAGAATCATGGCACGGAGTTGAAACTCATAAATCCAAATAGGATCTTCTAAACATATGCTATAAGTTCAACCACCTCCTCTTGCACTGTTAGATTGCTAAACAGGTCTGGAGCATGTTGGTAAATCTGTGCCGCAGCTGGTTTATGTCAAAAACCTCAGACCAATATCACCTCAAGAAACAGAGAATTCTAACCAGAAAAATACTAAAGCAGTGACACAAAAATTGAGAGAAGGGAATCATTCATTGCTTCATCTAATCAGAAAAATCACATGATCATCTAATTTTATGCTTTTTCACCCCTTCAAACTCTTGGTATTTTGTATTTCAAAGAATGCTTAGTAAAAAATTAACAAACCTCAATAGTAGCCATTGCAGATTGTTCTTGCATCTAGAGCTATGATCGAACAGACACTAGTTATCCTAATTTCATGATCCCACATATTTCCATAAAACGTTACCCTAATTTCAATCGTTTCTGTATGCCGCTTTTAAATCATCATTACATCACTATACTGACTAAAAGGTGAAGTTTGATTCTACCACCACCATGGTATTTCAAGGCAAGAACTGATGGAAGCACTGGCACTCAAACACAGTTTTATCTTGAGAGCAAAGATGGAAAACTTTAATGTTCTTTCAAAGGGGGGAAGAAATAATGTTAGTGTTTTTCTTTTAGCATGACTGTAAATGCCACCATAAAAATTGACTCCTGCTTCTCCACAGAACAATACCCCACAGAGTTTTACTACAAAAATACCCATCAAATCTTGCCCAACTTCTCAATTTTGATCTCCAACGGCAGGCCTCCTATCAAACCCAACCAATGCAGCATACAACTTGTTTTTATTCAAGTTGCATTCTCTCCTCTGTGTGTGCACCTAAGTTGCTCCGACACGGCAGTTTAGGTGCCGCACCCGTGTCGACACGACACTAGTACGGCTGTGGGTATGAAATCCATATCAGATCTGGTCAAATAATTTTGGGTACTTTGACCACGGCGGATGGAAAAATTTGAGACGAGATACAATTTGATTCCCGAATCAAAACCAAAACTATGATAAATTTGAAGAAAATAGCATACCTTATTTAGGAAATTAATCCTTTACTTATGTACAACTTGAGAATGAAAAAGAATTCCACACTTGAGAATACAAAAGTATTCCACAAAATTTCTCATAATTTAGAATTTTTTTTTATTTTTTTGAATTATTTTTAGCCGGATCCCCGTACCCGTATCCGTATTAGGATCCATATCCCCAAATCTTAGAATTTATATCTCGAAGGATCCGACCTCTAGATCCGCACCTGTGTCGGACACCCGCACTCATGTCCGAGCAACTTAGGTGTGCACATTTACACTGTGTGAAACGATGATATATAGCAAAATCGTGGAAACAAAAATTGTTTTGGGAAACCAAACATCTATGTCAAACCTAAAATCATAAACTATGAAGAGGAAATTTTCCAAGAAAGAACAGAATTTCATTGAGCAACCACATTCCACTTTTAATCTACCAAGCAACCAAGCCAAAAAATCAAAGAAATATAACTGTTAAAAGTACAACGAGTATCTAGGAGTGCATAGGATATTACTAAAGTTGATCAAGTTATGGAATTACCCACTTCAATTTAAGCCTCAATCATCACTACTATTATCCAACAAAAAAATTTTGGAATTAAATTTGTTATTAGCTAATGTTGAGAACCATAGGCCAATTGACTCTCTGGCGGGAGGCATTCCTGAATATCTTATATCCCCATTTTGGAAACAGCAATGAACTACAAACACTCTACACAAAATAAAAAAATTAATTTTTTCGTACCCGACAGGTAAAAGGGCAGCCCGGTGTACGAAGCATCACGCGTTCACGCAGGGTTACGGAAAGGGCAACACCCCAAGGGTGTGACATAGTCAGTCCATCCTGATACAAGTATTAGTGTTTGATTCCACGGCTAGAACCCCTAACCTATAGGTCACATGGAGACAACTTTACCAAGGCTTCCTTCAGGCAATTTTCAGTTAATTATGGCTCTAGCTTTGAACCTTACTGATGAGAGCTATCTTTAGATAAAGAGACAATTATATTACTCTCATTCTTCCAATGACGACAAGAGTGGTTTGCTCTAGTGGTGATCACCCTCCACTTCCAACCAAAATGTTGTGAGTTCGAGTCACCCCAAGAGCAAGATGGGGAGTTCTTGGAGGGAAGGAGCCGAGGGTCTATCGAAAACAGCCTCTCTACCCTAGTGTAGGGTTAAGGTCTGCGTATAAACTACCCTCCTCAGACCCCACTATTAGAATTATATTGGGGTGTTGTTTGTTTGTTTTGTTGTTCATTCTTCCAATGACAGCTGAGGCTAAGAGCAGAGAAGTTTAACTATAGTTCTGGAAAAGATATCACATCTGGATCTTATCTTTTTGTACCAAGATTCCCAGTTATTTAGTGGACATCTGGAAACCACTAAACAATATTTTCCTTTTTAGTGATAACTCCACTTATGACATGGCATTTTCCAGTTTTAGTAAGTACTACAAAGTTATATGGATAGATTCCAACTAGTTTTATCAACCTTAAACAACATTAACTATATCTAAACTAACAGATAATCAAGAGAAGTTCTAAAATCAGCAAGAAACTAAAAAAATCAAAATGGCATTGCATAGTTTACCCGCGAATAAGAAGTAAGGTCTGCGACGATACCCCAAAATCGGAACAACATCAGTGAGAAGACCCCATAAAGGCTTAACAATCCAAGGAATTGAAGTTATCCCAGAATAAACCTGAGATTCAGAAGGCTGCACTTTTTGTACATCCTTCATATAATACTCTGTCCCTATCATAGAAAAAGCTCCACCAAGTCCTTGGCTTACTCCATATACAATCACAACACCAAACACAAAACTCCAGTGCAATTCCACAGCTAGCATTTTAAACCAGTTGATTGGAGCACACAACATAGAACTACAACAGATCCCGTCGGTATTCTCACTTTCTTCAACTTCCTCTTCACTATGAATTTGAAGTTTGGATTCTTCCCCCATAACTCACCAAATACTTACAAATGGATCTCAAAAGAACAAGAAAACAAAACCCCAGTTCAAGATAGAGTCTTTTCAAGATTTTGGTACAAAAAAATGTCTTGAAAAGTCAACTTCCAAGCAAATGGGGATCCCTTGGGCTTGTTATTTCCATGGTATTTTAGATAGTTTTCTCCTTGAATACTCCCAATCTGTAAAATGGACTAAAAAAACAAGAAACCCCCAGTTCAAGATTGGGTTTTCTCAAGATTTTGGTACAAAAAATGACTTGAAAAGTCAACTTCCAAGAAAATGGGGATCTCTTGGGCTAGTTTTACACATGGGATTTTAGAGATTTTTCTCCTAGTTAACTTTGAATACTCCCTATAGGTAAAATGGTTTCAAAAAAACAAGAAAACCCCAGTTCAAGATTAGGTTTTTCAAGATTTTGGTTCAAAAAAATGGCTTGAAAAGTCAACTTCCAAGCAAATGGGGATCTCTTGGGCTTGTTTTCACCCAACTAACTTTGAATATGGTATGTTTTGCTCAAAAAGATTCTAACTTTATCTGATATGAAAGCTTTGTTGTTTGCTAAATGCTCAAGATTGCCCAAAACTATGTGCCAAAGACCATTAATTAATCTTTCAACTTGCATATTGCTACTAAATTATACTTTTTCTCTCTCTTTGAAGAGGGTAAGAATAAGATAGATTCAAGAATGGCTATAGGGGACAGGTAAAAATTACAAGGAGAAGATGATTTTAACAATTCTTTGTTCACACTTCACATCAACATTCTGTATATATTGTAGTTTATTATTATTGGCTGTCATAAAAACTAACATTTCAAACCAAGACTACGGCTACCTGCTTTTTCCTCTCTTTTCCTCTACTGTTTTGTCTCTTTTAAAATCAAAACTTCTGTTGTCCATTTTAGTTTTCCTAGTTATTAAAAATAATTGGTACGAAATACTTATCATTTTAAAAAATTAAAATATTAATTAATATATTCCTATTTTACCCTTATTATTATTATTTTTTTAAATTAAAAATTAATAAATTACGTACAAAGAAAATTTAGTGAAGAGAGATCAATATGATGGATGATGGAAGATATAAATAAGAATATAATAATCAAAAAGTCCTTATTAATAGTTTCTACAGGGACATATAGAAAAAAAATATATGACAACTAAAATGGATAGGAAGGAATAAAATAGAAAAACTATGTCCCCATGTCTGTCATAATTTAATGTATATTACGCTCGATATCTTTGTATAATCTCTTTTTGTACTTTGTTTTTGTTTATTTTGTTGTGGGAAAAGAGGGAACAAGAGCACATGCATAAGAAGAGAGAAATTAACTCTAAATACTTAACACTTCCTTTCGGATGGAGTTTTTGGCCAATATTGTCCCTTATTTTTTAGGATAAGTCTATTTTGGTCCCTCAAATATAGCCACGAGCATATTTAGTCCCTTAACTATGCTAAAGTGGAGCACANATTACATTAAGGTTTTTACCTAAAATAAATTGTTAAGCAGTCTAAATATTTGAGTATACTCTTGCTATAGAATATTTAGGGGTATTATCATTTTTAGCCCGTGCCATAATATATAAACTATTTATATTTGTTAGCCGAAAAAATATATAAAATTTATATAATTTTTGTATTTAACATACAGAACATGTGTGTGTGTATATATATATATATATATATATATATTTTCGGCTATTATTTTTACAGCGGCTATACAGTATCATTTTCTCATTGAAAACTAGCACAGAAAGGGATATTTTCAAGGTCAAAATTTTAGAAGACATTATCTAAAATTGAGGAATTAAAGTGATAATTTGTGTTATCCAATAAAAGAAAAGGAAACATTTTGCTTCAGAGCAGAAGATTTGTTTCATGAATCAGAGTTGGGTAATACCGTTAGTTTTTGAACATATTGTGTTAGTGGGACTAAAGGTGCTCCATTTTAGCATACTTAAGGGACTAAATATGCTCAGGGTTATATTTGAAGGACCAAAATAGACCTACCCGTCGGGTGTACAAAGAAAACCGATAAACCGCACCAAACTGATAATGCGAGTCAAACCGAAAAAAAAATCCGATATGGTTTGGTTTGATTTGGTTTGGTATTGAAAAATAAAACCCGACCATAACTGGTTTGGTTTGGTTTTAACTAAAAACAAAAGTTAAACCGAAACCAAACCAACTCGATAGTATATTTATATAATTTTTAAAAATATTTTATACATATAAATATTTATTGTAATATAATTTATAAATATTTCTTAAACTTTTTTACAATTTTATTTTTTAATGTATTATTTCAAGTTTAGACTTAACAATCTTGAATGGTAAAAAAAATTAAATACTATAAATGTAGTAACTCAAACAAAGTTCAAATCAATACTAATGCTAACAAAAGAAATTCAATTCAATAATAGGAATGGCGATAGTGTTGGATAATTATTTTAATTTTACATTGGTTTATAATGAAAATGTATAATTTAGTTTATCTTTTTCTTTAGTGCTTAGTTATGTAATTAATATTAGTACTTATTAGCTATACTTATTTTAGCATGACTTATATAGTATTTTTAGATGTTAATTTTCATTATGGCTTATTAATTAATAATATTTATTTTATATTATTTTATTATTTTATCTTTGCTATTGAATATTTTAGTATAATGCTATGACTTATCTCATATTATTGTGTTAGTTTCTAAAAAAATACATTATATAGTTATTTTACTAGGGCTTAAGAAATATTTGGAGCATAAGTTACATATTTCATGCTATGAAGACTTTATCGGAAAAAAATCCAAAAATTCGAAAAAACCCGAAAAATCCGAGAAAAACCGATATTGAAAAATCCGACTTTATTGGTTTGGTTTGATTTGGTTTATAAATTTAAAAATCTGTCACTATTGGTTTGGTTTGATAATTGAAAAATTCGAACTAACCCGACCTATGTACACCCCTACTTCTCATGATTGTTGTTTCACGTGACTTTTAATTATTTAACTTGAGGCTGAGATAGGATTAGAGCAAAATGGTTTTTATATCAAATTAATATTTTTTTATTACTTATATAATAAATAAGATGAAAATACACATTAATTAACTTGTTGTAAAAGTTGGATGTAGGTAAGTATTTGCCGGGGAGAGGTACGGTGGGGTAAGAGGGGCTCTAGTTTGCTATGGTCCCATTCTTATCATTAGTTTAAAAATATTGAAAACATAACGTTGTATAGCCGCTCTTAAAATAATAGTCGAAATATATATATATGTATATATATATAAATTTTATAAATTTTATATACTTTTTCGGTTATCGAATATAAATTCTGACGCGGGCTAAAAGTGTAAAAGGCCCTGAAATATTTATCAGTTCAAAGGCATATCCCTTGATGAAAAAACAAATATGAAAAGAAAGGAGACAATAATGAATTTTGAGAATTATTTAAAACTTCCTTGAAGTTTGTAGACTATCTCTCGCACGTTTGACATAATACTAATCACCGCTGTTCTAAGTATTTGTCATCTACTTAATTAGATAGTTTAATCATTAATGTCATCCACTACGACCAAAAAAAAGTAGATTTATATCTCTTTCTAACAAAGAGGGAGCTAGAACGTTAAATTCTTTAAATTCCAAAGATTAGTACGGGTTCGGTCAAATTCTTTAAATTTACTCTAAACTTTAAAGTTATATTAAGTATCTAATAAATGTTAAATTTAGAACTCCTAGTTTGCTTCTTATCATAGATTTCGCTATTAATCTTTGGAATAGTAAAATATTCTTGTAATATATTTGCCTTTCATTCCTATTTTAAGTTTTTATATTAATGATACTTTAACTAAAACTTTTACCTATTTGACACTATAAGGGGTCGTTTGGTAAGAGGTATTAGAAAAAATAATGCAAGTATTAGTCTTGTGCATTACTAATATCTTGTTTGATATATTTTTTCAACTTATGTATAACTAATACTTGCATTAGTTATACATCATACTTGGTATTAGCCTATGTATAAGTAATGTATAGAAAACCATGACATTAGTAATACCAAGGCCATTAATGCATGCATTAGTATGGTTAAAGACAAAATTGTCCTTAAAGTCCCTTAAAACTAGAGAATATGGAGGGCAATTTTGTAAACAACTATTTTTCTTAAAAATTATGCAATGCATTATAATTTTTAATACACCACACTAAACAGTTTATAAGAAATAATATATGCATAACTAATGCTTGCATTACTAACCCATGCATTACTAACTCATGCATTACTAATCCCTGCATTACTAATACACTATATTCTACATTATTCTTATATACCCTACCAAACGACCCCTAACATTAATGAATCAGTCCAGAATTCTTTGAGGCGGGGAAAGAGTTTTTGCAGGTCTACACCCTATTTGGTCGATCTTCTAAAGTTAAGTTTGTGGTCACGTTCTTTATAAAGTCAGGAATAATTCTAAGCATCATTCGTGGGCAAGTGCACAAATAGTCATTCTTAACTATCTTATTTAGAGATTAGTCCGTAGTTATTTTATTCTAAAATTTTAAGCTATAAATTTTAACTACAGAATAATTCAAAACATTTTTGTCCCGAAAAATTGAACTAAAAAACTGAAATTCGGGACGCACTAGCTAATTCTTAAATATCAGCCCTTTAGAGTGAATGCCTGATGTCATTTCTATATCATCCGTAAACATAAATTAAAAGGGGGATTTGTATCCGTACCCTATATTTGTGCCATCTTTTAACCTGTATTTTTTAAAATTATTGATTTGGTAGCTATCTCACAAAAAATCCGTAATAATATGACAATTACATCCCTGACAAAAGATATAAAACGATCTCCTCCTCTCCTCTCTGCAACTTTATAAAAAAATCAGAAAATTGTCCAGATTCATCTTCAGAATCACACTTGCATGAAGTTGTTTCACCTTGAAGCTAAAACTTCATGCTAATGTAGCATGAAGTTGTTTCATGTTGAAGCTAAAACTTCATGCTAATATAGCACGAAGTTGTTTCACATTAAAGCTAAAACTTCATGCTAATGCATGCTGAAGTTATTTATCATGCAGTTTACAGTTTTGTCATGAATTTTATCCGAAACTTCAGTCTAAACAAGCTGAAGTTATTTAGTTCATTTGCTAAAATTTCAGACTAAACATGCTGAAGTTATTTAGTTCATTTGCTAAAATATCAGATTAAACATGCTTAAGTTATTTAGTTTATTTGCTAAAACTTCAGACTAAACATGTTTAAGTTATTTAGTTCATTTGTTAAAATTTCAGACTAAACATGCTTAAGTTATTTAGTTCATTTGCTAAAATTTCGAATTAAACATGCTTAAGTTATTTAGTTCATTTGCTAAAATTTCAAACTAAACATACTTAAGTTTATTAGTTCATTTGTAAAATTTCAGACTAAACATGTTTAAGTTTTTGTCTTGTAGTATGTAATTTTCTAATGAGTTTTTGCTAATGCATGCTGAAGTTATTTAGTTCATTTGCTAAAATTTCAGACTAAATATGCTGAAATGTTTTAGTTCATTTGCTAAAACTTCAAACTAAACATGCTTAAGTTTTTGTCTTGCAGTATGTAATTTTCTAAAGAGTTTTTGCTAATGCATCCTGAAGTTATTTAGTTCATTTGCTAAAATTTCATACCAAAACATGCTGAAGTTTTGTAACGCAGTCTACAGTTTTGTCCTGAG